ATTTGGCTGCCATGGCCGCTATTTTGCTACTAAGTTCTAATAGGCCGATCTCACTTAAAATTGGTCTAGGAATGATCAGCTCATGGTCCTGACAAAGTTAAGTTAACATTATACTATTTTTTACTCAAATTGGTACATATTTCAACAACAAAAATAAATACTGTAGACTCAGGTGACCGTTTAGGCCCATGGGCCTCTTGTTATTCATGTTACATGATAACGGCCAGTAACTTGCTGGAATAGGATGTTAGCATATTTGACAACAGAAATGACTTTGGTCTATATATTGTTCAAATATATTATCTGAAGCAACTCTGAAAGACCCATTAGTAAAACAAGTCTATTAAATTCTCTAAGCAAAAATCTGTCAGCAGTAGAATATAGTTATTTAGCCTGTTGTGTTTACTTGCTGGGTACCAAATTAGTTACAAAAATTGACTAACTTTGAAGGTCACATATGTGAAATTTTGTGAACAACATTGAATAACAGGTGAGCGGTGCAGGTCTATTGGACCTCTTGTACAATAAGTGAAGTTTGACTGTGTATTAATTCATTCACCCCTGTAGTTTCATAATGAACTATTCCAACCTTTGAATTGGAAGAGTTCAAATGTGTCTTCAGGGGTGAATGAGTCAAACATTACTGGGGATATATTTCATAATAAAGTTTAAGTGGATAGGCCCTTAATAAGGTTTATAGTTACGTACTTATCTCAGGAGATTTCGTCACAATTTAAAGTTGACAGGGCATTGATTATGTTGAGTATGGTATACTTAACTTGGCAGGGGGTTTTAGAGTAGGGAGTTGTTAGGGGTACAGCCCTGTGTTCCTCTCATAAATGTCAAACCTGTATTTAACAGGGTGGGGGAGACATTACATCAGCAGTCTGATGGGGGATATGTGTTATAAACCAACCTTGTTGATACTTAACCTCAGATACATGGCATAGATTACAAATTCACACTTTCCTTAATTTCCAACAGATGTGGTTTATTTGGGAAATTCCACTTCTGCTTTTTGTAGATAAAATTGAAAAGTTTAATTTTGTTTGTCAAACTTTTATTTGAGTTTGTGGAGTTGTTCCCCTTCAATTGTACAGTATTTTCCAATGAGTGTTCTCCAGTTTATTTGAATTGTTTTTAAAAATTACCAAAAAACTATTTTAGTACATGTTTAAATTTATTGAGAGCCATTGAGGTCTCCCCAACATATGACTGATATTCTAGCAGGAGTGTCAAAATATGCAGCAATATTAACTAATATACCCCTGAAGACACATTTGAACCCTTCCAATTCAAAGGTTGGAATTGTTCATTATGAAACCTCAGGGGTGAATGAGTTAATTCTCGAGTTAAAACCATCTTGAGTCAAACTTGGAAGTATTAAAGCTTCCTGACTTAAGACCAGATTGTCTGATCCCAGCCGTTTTCTATATCAACTTCACCTGGCCCCCAGGAATCACAAAATTTCTTAACTTGAAAAACGTTCTCAATTCTTCAAAAATTGAATCCGTTTTAAGGATCCCTGTACCAGCTGTATGCTGTAACTATGAATTGAAAACTTCATTACTTGCATGACAATAGCTGACATGAATCATGTCTGAAAAAGTCTTGCATAACTTTTATGGAAATGAAAATGTTAAAGATTAAATTAAAAATAAAAATCACAATGTTGCGAGAGAAAAATTGAAACGTGGCTAGACTGGGATTCTAACCCTGGACCACGGCGATGACATTTATGGAAATGAAAATGTTAAAGATTAAAATAAAATAAAAGAATCAAAATTATGTTCTGAGAGAGAAAAAAGGAAACATGACCAGACTGGGATTTCAACCCTGGACCACGGACCATAACTTTTATGGAAAATGAAAATGTAAAATTAAAAAAATAAATCACAGTGTTGCTCTGAGAGAACAAAGGAACTGTTGCTAGACTGGGATTTGAACCCTAGACCATGGACCACAATACTGTTGCTCTATCTAACTGAGCTACCTGATCAGTGGTTGGTCCCGGACCCAGTCGTACTTGTTTCATATCGTAAACAAAATTAAGGGGAGGTAACTGTATACATGTAAACCTATAATGAAATTCTCTAGTGTTTGACTTGGGGATGAAATTACTTCATATGTAACAGGAGAGGATGTTGTTTTGTGCAAAATTATTGTTTTGGGTATATACTGAAAAACTGCATGCACTTTTGTGCATAAATCTTTTCACGAATATATGCTAAGTGCACACAGTGTTTGCAGTATATTGCTGTTTATCCTGGTTATCCCTTAAATAAGTTAACAATTATATAATTAAGTCATGTATGATTACAATAACTTGAAAAATGTATTTATGTATTTCAGATTATTCGGTACAACAGGCTATTGTTCCGCATGTTCCAAAATGATCCCAGCGTTTGAGATGGTCATGAGGGCTAAAAGTAACGTCTATCATCTTGAGTGCTTTGCCTGCCAACAATGCAATCACAGGTATTACTATGAAATTAACACAGGTGTTCTATTAAATATGCCAATCACAGGTATTACTATGAAATTAACACAGGTGTTCTATTAAATATACCAATCACAGGTATTACTATGAAATTAACACAGGTGTTCTATTAAATATACCAATCACAGGTATTACTATGAAATTAACACAGGTGTTCTATTAAATATACCAATCACAGGTATTACTATGAAATTAACACAGGTGTTCTATTAAATATACCAATCACAGGTATTACTATGAAATTAACACAGGTGTTCTATTAAATATACCAATCACAGGTATTACTATGAAATTAACACAGGTGTTCTATTAAATATACCAATCACAGGTATTACTATGAAATTAACACAGGTGTTCTATTAAATATACCAATCACAGGTATTACTCGTTAATTAATCACAATCAAATATACCAATCACAGGATAACTGCTCAAAAAATTATTAAAGGTGTTCAATTAAATTACTGTGACAACAACCCCCGCATAGACGATTAAATTACCACCACTGAACTTTTTGTCATAAAACTTTGAAAAATATATTTTTTCGTATTTGGTTTGAAATTTGATTGAAAGGCATGATGTTTGATAAATGAATTGATTGATAATTAAAACTAAAAGGTCATTAGTTGTAATATATATTAAAATCTTATCATAAAAATATATATAAATATAAAAAAAAAAGACTTCCCTATAGTGCTTTCTCCTCTTCAGAGGTTCATCAGGGGAATAAATATATATATGTATAACTGCACACATGTTAAAATACCACCATCAGAATTATAACTATATATGTCAAAGTATGATCCAGTATCGGTCGCACAGAGCACCGAAGTAGTATTCCCTACTACTTCGGTGCTCTGAGCGACCGATACTGGAGAAGCAAAAAGACCCAAAATTAGATCCACCATGTAACGTGGATGTTTAAGTGATTCTAGCAGCACCTAGTCACATCCATAATTCCTTAACAGGATGTCAGTACCTGGATAAATATGATACAATTATTATTTAATTGGGATTAATAATTAACAACTGTAAAATATGCATGCAAAATAAAAGCTTACAAAAGTGGGGAGTTCAGGGGTGGGGGATGCAAACTCTGTTTTTGAGGATTTTTTGTTTTCAAAATAGGAAGGTCTTAGATTGAGGATTTTTTGTTTTCAAAATAGGAAGGTCTTAGATTGATTAGCATATAATTGAATGGGTAAATTTTGACAGATAATTACAGGTATTTTAGAGTACAAAGTTTATAGGGTATGCTGGATGTCAGACCTGGTAGACACATGAAGAAGATATATATTACCGGAGCAGGAGACGTGAAAATTACTTGTCAATCGGTGTAGTAACGGAAACACATACAAGTAATTTCATGCCTGTTATACAAGTGACCATTGTGTAGGATTTATGGGGCGATTGTCTGTGATGATGATAAGTGGGCCTACGGGACTGGACCTTGGGCAACGTTATGTAATTATGGAACGAAAGTGGAGGCGTCATCAGCCTAGAATATCATTAGGTTTTGTTCATAGTCTCTCAATCGCAACCCCGTCTTCTGTCTATGGTTTTACGGTTTTCGTAACCTCACAATCTTGTTATCTGGTGTCGACTCTGAAGAGAGCTGTCAGCACGCCCTTAAAAAGATCCATACTCCCAATACCCCTTTGTGAATGTCGCTGTGATAGCGATTTTTTGACAAGCTTCTTCAAGAGCTTGACTTCGGGATCACTTGCTTGTTAGGGCGTCTGAGTGACCATTTGTGTTGTAAGAATTTGTCGGGACGTAAATAATCACATCTACTGTCTATAGTTGGATAAATAACAGACCACGGATACTGAGTGTGGGGTCAGTGTGGCTCTCTCTGAGATGGTCAATACCGAAGGTCAAACCAGAGGCTGACCTCAGGGTCAATGTGACACTGAGAAAATCATTCGTAGAGGTCAAAGCTAGGATCGGGTAAGGGACAACATGGCTCTTTTACTCATTCACCCCTGAAATTTCGTAATGGACTATTCAAACCTTTGGATTGGAAGAGTTCAAATGTGTCTTCAGGGGTGAATGAGTTAAGGAAGGTGAAGGTCAAATCAGGGCTGAATTTAGGAGGGACTCGGGGATTCTTGTTAATGTAGGTCAAAACAGGGGCTGAGTATAGCGTCAACAAGGCTCTTAGAGGGCCAAAGCAAGGCTGAACTTATAGTGATTGTTTTTTCCCATAAGATTTTAATTTTGAAATCATCTCTTGGTGTTTTTTCAAGTCATTTTGTTTTGCATACTTCATGTCCACAAAAATTATGGCAGTCATTTTTGTTAACGTGTATCAACACTTTTCAAGTAACATGCGTCATGATTAGAGCTACAGTTCAATTTATTATACCGGGATTCAGCAATTTATACACAATCGATATAACCTTTGAACACTTTCAAATTAGTAAAAAATAATGGTTTAAGTATTATTACCACTGAAATGATACGTTTAATAGTATTTTGATGATCGTGTTTGACTTTTCATGGTGATTACAATACTGACACGAGATTTACTGGTAAGGGTTTATATATCCACTGGGTATCTCATGTCAGTAGCCATTTGCATGACAATAAAAAAATTGTCAAAAAAATATAAAAATAAGGCCCTATTGGATGTGTTTGGTATAGCTCCCAATACAGCGACTTGTTAGCTTGTGATGTGTCATAATACACAATCTCTTTGTACGTCTCCTTGGAGGCTTTCTAGAGTACAATGATCATCTCCAAAGGTCACTTCCCTATTCAGGAGCAATTACTAAAAAGGATTCTAAAGCCTCCACATCGTTTGTGTAATGCTCCTAAATGTTCGTTTTATCACTGACAGATATTTGAGACAAGCTCTAAGTGTGTGAGATATGTGACCATAAGGTCAGTGACTTAACCCTTTCACCACTGTAGACTTCAATGGACTCATCCATATCAATGCCTGGTAGAGTCTACGAAAGATACACAGGGGTGAAAGATTTAAAACTGGGACAAGATTGTCTACAAACATCTCATTGGCTTATACTAGTCAGGCTGTCAGCAGACATCTCATTGGCTTATACCAGTCAGGCTGTCAGCAGACATCTCATTGGCTTATACCAGTCAGACTGTCAGCAGACATCTCATTGGCTTATACCAGTCAGGATGTTTGGACTTGACACCTCCATTCTGCTTGAAGGGCCCTATGTATAGACATGATTTTCAAATCAATATGTACTTATCAAAACTCAGTATATGTGGATTAAACTAAACAAAGTTTTATCAAATTTAGTAAACTGACATGCCTGTCTTAATTAACTATATCTCATCAGTGATGTTCTAGGCCAAATGTTCAAAAGTGGAAGAAGAATGAGGACTGGAATTCGGTGCTCAGACTTAGTTATAATTAAAAAATTAACAAGCAATGAGAAGTTCTACAAAAGTTATCTATAAATCAACCATTGGGTTAATTATAGTGTAACAGTACAAATGTTCACTATTTTTTGCCATGTCCATTAGCCATGTACTAATCTTTACCTGTTTTCCTCTACTGTTGCAGGTTCTGTGTGGGAGACAAGTTCTACCTGTGTGAAAACAAGATACTGTGTGAATATGACTATGAAGAACGAATGTTATTTGCAAATATGTCTTATAACTACAGTGCTCTGTCACAGATAAAGAGACAGACGCAGAGCCTCAGTGACGATCTCTCCAGCGGTTATGGCAGCCCCAGTCCCAGTTCCCTGTAAACTACCCCTCATACCGTTCTATTTTGTTGTGGTATGGACCATGTACAGTATTCCTATCAGGTACACAACTTTTTTGATGCCATGAAAGTGAAGGGTTGCCATGGAGACTCCATTGTTGCTAAGGATGTGATGTGGATGGACGGAAGGATGGATGACCTGGCAGTCTGGGTCAAACCTGTACCGGGAGATCTGGATTTGTTGCGAATTTGGCTCGGTTGTTAAAAACCATTTCACGAGTTGGTTCAGAAAGTGATGATCTTTGTAACCATGGTGATGAGTTGTTTCCATGACAACAGATCTATGGATGGAGCTATCACCTGGTTGTCACGGAGATGAACTGTTTTCATGGTGCCATAACTTTGGGAAGAGAGACACCTGGCTACCGTGACTTGGTACAGAACAGAAGTGTAGTTTCCATGGAAATGACTTGGTTTCCATGGAACAGATCCACATCCTCTGGAGGAGAGTCCCAGGATGAAAGCATTCCAAACTTTTGTGTGAGTGTGCGGATATGTATGTGATATCTTTTTTATTTTATTTTTTTCAATGCACTATTTCCGGTTCATTCTTGTTGAAAATGTTGTACTCGGATGTCAATCAAAAAATATATCAGCTGTGATTGGTTGTTTTTTTGTCATATGTTGAGTTCACTGAAGGATTTAAACATTCAGGGGAATACTGTATTCAGATACAGTTTCAATGAACAATAACACTGTGTTCAAATTCACATTTACATCAAATTATTTGTTATTTATTATAGAAATACTGCAGAAAATTATTAATTTTTAATTATTTATTTATTTATCTTTTTTTTTTTAAAGATGTCTCTTAAAAATGTTGTTTTTCAGTACAAAAAAAAATTAACATAGGAAAAATCCAGATGCTGCACTAAAAAAATGGATGCATGAATGAAAAATTGTTAGAGAATAAATCCCAGAAAAAGAAGATAAAATTCATTGTCAAATAATGTTTTTCCTTTTAGAAAGGTGTAACTTTACGAGTACCCAGCGAGTAGACTAAAGATAAAATGTTCTATTAATGATACTGTACTGGTAATGTCCAGGAAATGAAAATCAGGTCTTTGATTACACAGACAGATTTTGAAGAAGAATATATGTGCTTAAGGAATGAACAGAACATTATATATATTAAGCTTCCAAATAATAAGTTTAACAAATTATTTTATAATTATTCTTTTATCTGACATGTATGTTAACACATTGTTATAAATAGGAGGATGATAGGTAATAAATACCTATACAGTATTTCTACCAATTCTTTAAATTTTATTAAGCTTTGTCCATTTATTTCAATGTGCATACATCTAATTAAGTTAAACGACACATGCCTCCTTAACTTCTATAAAAAATATATACAGATATATGAATAATTAAAATGTATTTTAAATTTTTTGTTTGTTTGTTTGTTAGCTTTTAAATTTTCTTCGGTAATTAAAATATTGGTTTAAATTTCTTTAATAAAACCTCAATATCAAGAAAATGTGTCACAAGTCATAAAGAGATGTATTTGTAACAAATTTGTTTTCATTAATATATACTTTTATTATGTTTTGTCCATTTATTATGTTGACTGAGTATTTGAGGGTTTTGTTTTTTTATAAATATATATATATAAAATTACAGGACTTGAAGAGAAAGTTTGATATCACAAATTGTGGATTTCTTCAGGTGACTAGAATACCTAAATTATTGTTTTGGATATTGTAATGTACAGCCTAAGGTGTTTTGTATGGACCATTACATAAAACTGTGATCAGACTTAAAATAACACAGCATACAAACACACGTGGTTTGATATGATAACCACACAACACATTACAATATGTTACACAACATGGCAAGACAACACACCACAAAACTTTACACAACACTACTGAAACAACACACCAAAACACTTTACACAACACTACCAAACAACACACCATAACACTTTTCACAACACTTCCAAACAACACACCATAACACTTTACACAACACTTCAAAACAACACACCATAACACTTTACACAACACTACCAAACAACACACAACAATACATCAGACTATTATTACTGTTAGACGACACAGCATTTTTGTATCAAGCCAGATGGCATTCATGTCGGCTATGAATGCCACGACCCAATTGTTGATGTCATCATCATTGTTTGTGGTTTGGCTGAATAGCTATTCCAGGAATAGCAATTAGTTATCACCAATATACACAGAACATTTCAACTATGATAATAACAAAATCACTTGGGCCACAGAATTAAAATTGTCTATATTAGTCTTAAGACACACGCAAGGAAGGTCTTCTGTTGAAGTTGTCTATATACAGTTGGCATTAATATTTCCTGTTGAATTTGACTTTGTGCAGTTGGCATTCATATTGCCTATGAATGAAAACTGAAAGTCACTACCATGCTTTAAAACAGTGCATTATCTTAAACGGATAGCCAGACTACACACTGTGTTACCGTGCTTTATCTATATACTATTCAGATATAGTACATACCATACAACTGTTGTAGATGATTTGAAACGTGAACTTTATACGTATTCCATACAAGGCTGAATATTTGTTGTATGACTTTAGGCTACAAATTTCCTGCATTGCAAAATGTTCATAATGTGTAGATTTACCGGGTCGTCGCTATGTAATTCAGCGTAATCAAGAAGAATAGAACTTTACTTAACAGAGAATTATTTTACTGAATATTCAAATATATATGAAGGGTTTCAGAATACTGTCCCTGTATTAGATACATGTACATGCAAAACGACCTTCTTGGGTATAAAATAGTCATTGACAATTTTAAGGAGCAAATACCTGAAAAGTTAAGGATGTTGTTTGTTTTCCTGAGTTAATTGTATAAATTATTTGTTTGTTGATTAACGAGGTTTCAATTCTTATGATTTGCATTCCTAATTAACATGTAACATTGATTGTTGGTTTGTAGGGGTGGTAAACATGGGTAATGTCGCTGCTACAGTGAAACCTGTCTAATCTGACCTCTGTCGTTTGACATCCTGTATAATCCGACATGATGATTGCGTAATCTCAATTCTTATGAAAACTACATAATGTATCTTCTGTATTCTGACATTCTGTCTATTCTGACCAATATGTTGTGTCCCAGAGGTTGTCATATTAGATATTTCATCGTATATGTTAAGATAAGTCTACATTTCAAAAAAGTTACATGATTGATTGTCAAAAATTCTAATGATTTCGGAATTTGTTGCAACTGCATTTCAATGAATACATTAAATGTATGTCTTCCTAGCGTCACATTTGGACCCCGATCGTTTTAACTATCCGAGTTTTACCTACCGAACACAAGCCGGGTATATCTATATTTTAGAGATGCAGAATATTGATCTACGTAGTTTTCGTCAAAAATAGGTATTATTTTTACTGTTAAGGTTTCTATGTGAACAGTTAAACATTTTAATTTTTCAATGAAGATCACCTCCAGTAAACATTTGCTGTTCTGGGATTTTTTTCTTTCTGATAGCCTGCTAACTTTAACGGGGCATTGTATACCATACATTGGCGCCAAAATATCATTGTTATTAATAATTTAACTTGTTAATAGAGGCACTAGAAAATATCATTGAATGGTTCATATAATTTCATTTTTTTAAATGAACATTACATTATAGAGCCCCCCATCTCTAAGACAACAGGTTGGTGCACAATTTGATTTGATTTTTTCGTACATATTATTTTTTCTAGCGTGATGTGTTCAAACCTGGTGCATATTTTTTATGACATTATTATCATTTTAAGGACTACATTTTTTCTAAATAAATGAAATAAAAGAAATGAATTGTTTTTAACGAAGATGAGACAATAATAAGAATTCTGTATCATTTTTTTTTATTTATTTCAAAAGACAGTGTAAAAGTTACCTTTCACCCCTATTAAAATTCCTCTTTTTTTCTTCTCTTTTTGTTGTTGTTAGAGAAAATGAATGCAAATCCTCATATCTGAAATATTTATTTAGATATATCTAAACAATATTTGCTTTTGGCAATGTAGCATCAACAAAAATAATTGAACTGTAGATTAGGGCAAAAATGTGACAAAAATATTTTAGAAAAAAAAGGGCCCTAAACTTGTTGAGTGCAGGAATCCGTTGCCTTGTTTAATATGTATTCTACCGAGGTTGAAAACAAGTTACTGCCTCTTTTACTTTCTTGGTCATTTACAATTTACTGAACATTTTCAAACATCTGGTAAGGTCGGGGTGGGGGGGGGGGATCGTCTCTACAATGTTGGTGCTGGTATGACCCTCAGATTATAACTGCCGAGTATCTGGTATTGCTATAGATTTTAAACTTGACAATTTACAATCCCAAACTTCATCAGTACTTAAATGACATTATCTGCTAAGCCAATGAAGTATGTTGCTTAAACAGAAATATTCAGAAAGAATTTAATTTTAGACAGAACATATTTTTTTGGCTAAGTTAGATTTTTTTAATTTAACCCTTTCACCCCTAGGTAACTTGAGTAGACTCTACCATACATTGATCTGGATGAGTCCATTATGATCTACAGTGGTCAAAGGGTTAAATGAATGGTGATTCCTTGTTACAACAGGCTGTATGAATAATGTTTTTTTTTATTCAATTAATTGAAAGTTTTCCTGTGTCCTCATCTTTCTTAAATTCTTTTTTTGTTTTAATTTAGTCCTCATTGCTTTGATATAAAAAAAAAAAGTTGCTGGGGATTTTTTTTAATTATATGTGGTATGATATGAAATATATTATATATTGTATTTAAACTTTTCTTATGTTGAAAAAAACTAGTCTCTTAAAGATTTTAATTGAATATTATAACATTTTAAGTTGTAAATAAAAACATTTGAGCTTGTGACAACATCTAGTCTTTTCAACTGTTGAATAAATATTTTACAAAAACCTCATTGTGAGTTTGTGTTTCCATGGCAACCAGAGTGACAGGAAAAGCGTATGTATCAAATGTGTATCATTTTCTACAGGAACAGAATGAAAAGGACTTTCAGAATACCAGGCTTTGTGGCCAAGGCCTTGTGGTTGACTCTTTCATCCCTGAAGACATATTTGAACTCTTCCAATTCAAAGGTTGGAATAGTTCATTATGAAATTTCAGGGGTGAATGAGTTAAATCTGTATAAGCTTGAACAACCAAGACCATTGAAAAACAGACATTGGTTTAGGATTAATTGTCATATACATAAAATATGGATGTTTTATAATTAAATATATATGTAGGCAAAAGGATCATAGGCATTTTGGACAGTCAGTTTCACAAGGAGTATACACTATGTTTAACCCAGCATAATATATTCATAAGAAGAACATGCAATACATATTCTTGCATCTATGTCAGTTTCATATTCGTGAAAATACAAACAGAAGCAACATTCTACAAACACTCAAGTAAAAAAATACACTATAATCATGAAATGGTTAAACTAGTGCAAAGACGGATATGGACTGTGTCAATAACATCAGCAGACGTCTTGAGAGTTTGGAGGTTCCGCCACCAGACCAAACGGTGAAATTCTGTTCAATCGTTCTAGACAAGTAGGCTTTTGTAAGAAAGTGTGATGAGGAACAGCATAACCTCACCGGTACTTTGTTCCAGATCAGCTGAAATGCTATGTGACTTTTGACCTTTATCTTTCAAAATTTACTTACAGTCAGTATTAAAAAAATATCACATGGTCTAGAGATGGTATATATGTCTATGATTTTTTCAATCATGTTACAAAGACA